GTGCTGCGAACGGTCCTGTCCCTGACATACATTCTCTTTCTTCTTCTTTTTGCTCTGTTTTTTGCCCCTTTTCTCTGCTGAGCCCAAACCTGGAACCAGCTTTCTGATTTTATCTTGTATTTAATGGGAAACGGCTGTGCCCATCTCTGGGCCAGCTCAGACGGCTTCCCCTCCAGGAAGTGAGTCCTCACGGCTTGTTCTTGTCCAAGTTAAAAATAGAGACAAGAGACAGCGAGAAACAGGCAAAGAAACATAAGAGAAGGGGACACAGAGAAACAGCCAGCCAGGAAGATAGAGCGGGGCAGAAAGAGGCAGCGAAGAATGCGGCAGGTCCCCTCCTCCCATCCATGTGTCCATTTATCAGGCTGATATCAGGTGACATGTGGCCCACTGGATGTCACTTCATGACTCAAGACCATCGTCAGAGTCTGTTTTCCCAGGTCTGTGCCCTTGAGAGCTGGAGTGCTGAGTGGGTTGGTGCGACCACACCTGTGGTCAGTGTTACCTGACCAGCTCGTGCTCCAGGCCCGCAGAAGAGCCCAGAGAAGCAAGCCCAGGCATGGCTGGGGTCCCCATGGGAATTTGGGGGGATAATCCCACCCATACCATGCTGGCACTCCCATAGCCCCTGAGGTCAGGCCCTGGGCTCAGCACGGGGCAGATACCAAGAAAATGGCTTACATCTTTGTGGCCAGGCTGAGTCTATCACATGTCCCCAGTTGGGGGGGGAGGTGGTCAGGGAGAGAGGTTGATGGGGGTCTTCTCCAGCCTTCGGTCTGGGGATTGGAGGACCACAGTACCATGAGGTGCGGGGCTGGGGGCCGCTCTAGGTTTGGCTATGGGGGAAGCATGGTGGCCTGAGGGGTCTCTGGGCTATCCAGTCAGAGGCAGCCAGGACCCCTGTCCTCTAACACTCTGGGATCAGCTCCTGCAGAGTCCTCTCCCTGGCCTGAGGCTGCCCTCTGTCCGGGACAGGACTGTGTGGTCATCTGTCTACCCCTCTCCAGTCTGGAGACCACAAGAGGAAGGGTCTGATTGCACAGGATCTGCACAGCCAGCCTGTGCCCCTCTGTGATGTTGTGATACAATAAGAATACTGTAGTCCCCCCTTATTCACAGTTTCATTTGCCCACAGTAAACTGTGGTACAAAAATATGAAATGGGAAATTCCAGAAATAAACAATTGATAGGTTTTAAGTTGTGCGTCGTTCTGAGTAGCATTATTAAGTCCCGCTCCGCCCTGCTTGGGACATGAATCACCCCTTTGTCCGACACATCCACCTGCACCTGCTCTTTACTCCTTACTCGCTTAGTAGCCAGCTCACTTATCAGATCGACTGTTCTATTATTAGTCATTGTTGTTAATCTTATTGTGCCTAATTGTAAATTAAACTTTATCGTCAGTATGTATAGGAAGAAGCAGAGTGTATACAGGGCTCAATACTATGTGAGTTTTCAGGGGTCCAGTAGACTTGGAGCATACCTCCTGTGGATAAAGGGGGGACTACCGATGTAGTTTGGTCTCTGTCCCTGGTTCCTGGCACAGAGCTCCTAAAACCCTTTTGAGTGGTAGGGGTGAGAGGAGCATCTTTTGCTGTTCATAGTGTTGTTCACGATTCAGGCTGCTCACTAGAGGAACTAACCATGGGGTTAGAGGGCTGGGACTTTCAGCCCTGCCCCACCCCTATAATGTCCAGGTAGGGGTGTTCAATCACCAATGGCCAATGCTTTAGTCAATCATGCCTGGTAATGGAACCTCTATGAAAAGACAATGGGGTTCAGCCCGGCTGGGCGTGGCTCAGCGGTTAAGCATCGACGTAGGATCCAGGAGATCAGGGTTCGATTCCCGGTCAGGGCACATGCCCGGGTTGCGGGCTGCAGCTGATCAATGACTCTCTCATCATTGATGTTTCTATCTCTCTCTCTCCCTCTCCTTTCCTCTCTCTGAAATCAATAAAGATATATATATAATAAAAAAAAGACAATGGGGTTCAGAGAGCTTCTAGGCTGGTGAGCACACAGAGGTGCTGGGAGGGCGGCACACTCAGAGAGGGCACGGAAGCTCTGCTCTGCCCCTTCAGAGCCAGCCCTGTGCATCTCTTCTATGTTGCTGTTCCTGAGCTGGGTCCTTTTTCATAAACAGGAAATACTCAGTAAATGGTTTTCCTGAGTTCTGTGAGCCATTCTAGCAAATTATTGAAACTGAGAGGGTGGTTCTGGAAATCTCTGATTTATAACCAAATTGGACAGAAGTATGAGTACCCCAGGCACGCACTGCTTACAACTAGTGTCTGAAGAGGGGATAGTCTTGTGGGACTGAGCCCTTTAACTGTAGGGTCTGCACTAACTCCAGGTAGTCAATGTCAGAATTGAAATTGTGGGACACTCAGTTGGTGTCCAGAGAGTTGGAGAATTGGTTGGTGTGAAAATAACCCATAGATTCAGTGTCAGAAGTGCTGTGAGTAAAAAACAGACTGTAATACCCTCTGAGTTCCTTCTGTGTCTTGCTCTGGGCCCAAGAGGCTGGGACATGGACCATGGACCACACCATCCAGACCCCTCTACCCTCTTGCTTCTGGTGAGGTGTGATCAGTGGAGGCACCAGAAGGCGGGAGGAGAGAGGCAGGGGTATTTACTCAACAGCTCCCTCCAGGGACTGTGTCCCTCTATCTACAGCCCCAGCTTTTGCCAGATGGACCCTGCCTATGACTTCTACTCACTGGTTCTGGAAACACCACTCCCTCCCATCACGGCAACCCTTCAGGTACAGGAGTACTATGGCCCCATCAGTGCCTTAGGTCACCCTGTCCTGTTGGTTCTCCTAACTCTGCCCACACCTTTGTAAACTCTCTCAATTGCCCTGCTAGAGGCCTGCCATCTGTTTCCTGCCAGGGCCAGACCCTGGCATTGGTTTGTGGAGTGCAAAGCCTTAGGGTCACCTAGTTCAACCTTCACTTCTTACATAAAGGGACATTAAGGCCCAGAGAGAGTGAGTGATCTGTCCAGGGTCACCCAGCCCCAGAAAAGGCTGTGGAAAGACCAAGACAAGTTGGAAATCTGTTTGCTTCCTCCCCTGCCTGTCCCTCCCAGCCTGGCTCCCCCAGGGCCCTGTGAGCGTTTCCTGTACAGCAGGAGCAGGATGTGTCTGCACCGGCTAATAAACCAATTAGGGCCATGTGCACCTCCGAGAGATAGGCACCTAGAAAGCCAGCCAGCATGCTCCTTCCCTGATCCCCTGCCCTAGTGGGTGAGGCCCTCCACGTGGCATGGGGTGCTTCCTGGCCTCCCC